TCGTAAGAAAGTAAGAAAATACAAATTTGGCTTCAGTACAAAGAACCATAAGTGGAAGAATTGGTTAAAGCATTTTAATTATGTGAGTTGCTTCAGGCCATTAGAGACTTTTCCTTTCAGTTCCATGTCTTTTAATCTTCATCGACACTCCCCTAAATAACAACACTACCTTTGATTTAGGGAACACCTCTAAATCCCCAAAGGGAAGAACATCTTCTTGAGGACATTGATCAAAATGTGCTGTTATCAAAGGATTTGTGCCTCCAGATAACTCCAATTCCTTGGCTCTTTTCAGACAGTGACATCAACTAGACTAGTTTTCTCTTCTCAACTTTTCTAAAAATGAACTGCTCAGGCATAACATTAAAATTATATAAAATATTCATTCATTTGAGGGATATTTTAATTAATGTTTAATAAAAGAGATAAAACTAAGATTATTTTACATTTCATGTTGGCAAAAGAAATTCTAATGCATGCTTTAGGGATCTCACATGTGAGTCATAACCATCTCCAGTCCCAATTAGAATTTTAGCCCCTAACAACCCTTCTCTTGTTCTCTTAATTGCCTTCCTTTCTGCTGTGAGATGGGGCTCATGTCACACAGGGTACAATGTTGGAAAAGACAAATAAAGAGAAAATGACATTTGATCTAAAAATGTCCACAAACAGCCCGGGATTTCTCTTAAAAATCTCCCCTTCCTCCTCCCCCTCTGTGTATACAATCTATATCTCTCTATACAATGTAAATACCTCCAAGGGACTTGCAAACAGAGATAACAAATACTCTGCTAATACTTTAGAAACAGTAAATACTATGATAGCTTCAATGAATCTTGTTTACTTTCTTTGCAGTTCAATTCCAATGTTCCTGTAGAGTGACCTAACAATACAATCTGGCCCTGGGGCTCTCCAGCTTAGAATCCTCATACTTTTTCATGGGTTCACCTGACTTGGAGAACTTCCCCATGACCCTGGCTGCCTTTGGCTTCACTACTGCTGGCCTCCTGCTCTCCCTCCACTGGATAGCTCCCCACCTCCTTTGCCAGAGGCTCAGCACTCTGTTTTTGTCCCTGCAAAAACAGTACCTAGCTGCCAATAGTACCTAGTACCTTGTACCTAGCTTGATCCCTTCTCCCTTTCTATCTGCTTTTCTGGGCAATCCTCCTCAATCTTTACACTTCAGTTGCAAATTCCTATAGGAAACCAGCCCTAACAATTAACTTCACTGAATTCTCTTCCTAAACTTGAATCTCCTAGGAGACAAGGACAATGTCTTACTTAGCTTTGCAAGTCCAGCTGCTAAGGGAGTATTAGGCCCACAGTAGGGCCTCAATAAACGTTTGTGAAACAGTTGAACAATGTGAATTAGAAACAGTTAGGTTTTTTTTTTTTTTATGAGCTCATTTTCTTAAAATGTTCGTTATTATGACTTCAAAAGGACTGATTTTGAAGAACTCTCTTCATGTCTAGTCATTTGGGAAATAACAGTTCTCTTTATAAAGTACATTATGTTTCGAAAAATTAATGTGAAGGTGGCACAGAAAAATGTGGGAAGCCAATTATTTTACTTATCTTTTCCAAGCTATCCTCAACTAAGCCCAAGTATGGCTGCGTACTCTACGGGACTTTTTTGCAGCATACTATTATACACGTCATCAATTTAAAACATCCAAAAATTGGTGATAACTGTAACCCAAGGTGAAGCTTTGATGATTGTTGTATGAGAGAAAAGGCATTTCAGTCAGTCAGAGGTATCATACCAGAATCAGAAAGACTGAGAGTTTCCATAAACTTCAATTCTCATACAGAAAATGAGCTGAGTTTAGCCTAATGCTTTTCATTCATTCATATATATATATATATATATATATATATATATATATATAATTTTCTGCATAGATTTTTTTTCCTATGCCTTTAGTTTAGCAAACTAGGTATTTTATATTACATGTTAATAAACTACTTTTATTTTTACAAGTATGTATTCAGGATTTAATGAGTACTCTGTATCAGATCCGTAGCTGAATTTAAATTCTAAATTTAATACTTGAAATAATTCCTTCCCCCAAATACACTGGCAAAACCAAACCAAACCAACCACCAACCAACCAAACAACAACCAAAAAACCCTGTGGAATTACTATGAATCCTTTCATAAAGTCACTCCTCTTCCTTTCCTCGCCCCCACCCTCCCCTTTCCATGCCCCCACACCCTCTTGTTTGTGAGACTTGGGTTCTAACCCAAGAGTGTTCTACCTGCAAGCTACATCCTAGTTCTTTTCATTTTATTTTGAGATAAGGTCTTGTTAAGTTATCCAGGCTGGCCTCAAATTTGCCATCCTCCTACCTCAGCCTCCCAGGTAGCTAGAATCACAGACACATGCCAGCAGGCCCAGTACATATTTGTTAATCTTTGACATTCCTGAATGAACTAATTTGATCAATAGTTGAGAACTCATTCCAGAATGCAGTGTAATCCTCTTTTCTCATAGACAGTTGGCAAGCTTGTCATAAAGACCTTCATCATTCAAATTCCTCCCCTGAGACAGCAATTATCCTGTCTTAAAAGAGCATCATACACTGAGAAAAAAGACACCAACGTCTAATCTTGCCTGTTAGCATTCACCAGCTTTCTTTTTTGAAAGATAAAACAAGTATTCAAAATCTTATAATATGTTCTCTATTTTGCCAAAAACATTGGAATAAAAATCAACAAAGATGATACTTTAAAGATTGAATTCTAGGATATCTAAGTCATACCCCCTTATTTTTATATCATATTAAGTGACACAATGCCTTCTAAGAGTATAATCCACTTGAATAAATAAAGTGAAATGAAAATAAATGACTGGACACATATTATGTTCATTTCTGGCACGTGACRACATCCTAAGAGATACCTGAGGAGATAGGTGTGGAGTCCTCTAGTAGCTAAGTAAAGTTCTGTTCTTTAAAAAGGCACTTATCTGGTCTTGTCTGTTCCTTTCCCTCCCTCTCTCTCTTTCTTCCTTCCTTCGTTCCTTCCTTTTTCCTGGTATTAGAGATTGAACACAGGGCCTTGCACATGCTAGACGAGCCCTCTACTACTATGCTACATCCCCAGCCCTTCATTTTCCTATTTGAAAATTATATTTATTTGTTTATTCCCTTATTAAATAAATAATCAATAATTACATGCCATAGGCCAGAAACTATGCTAGTCGATGGTGATAAAAATAGTGGTTTAAAAGAAATTACAGGGAAGTGGTCAGACAGATAAGGAAAATAACAGTTACAAAGCAATGTGCTGTATCTGCAGAAGGTTCATGGTTCCAGGACAATGAAGGGTAGCCCATCAAAGGCCATGTAGGAGAACTGGTGCTGAAGCTAGTTATGAAAATAGTGGAGAACATTTGCAAAGCATGGCAAGATTACACTGCAGATTAGGAAGGGAGGAAGGGCATTGAGGAGGAGGGTAATGGTAGACAGAAGGCAAACCATTGAAGGGCCCAGAATGGCAGGTAAGAGATATGGCATCCATCTTTCTTGAAGAAATGAGAAGCTATTAAGACATTTTAAGCCAAATAGTTTTAAGCTATTAAGCAATTTTAAGTGATTCAAGTCAGCATGGATTTGTAAAGCCTGAGCTACATGGTTGGAGTCATGATTTAGAGATATTACTCCACTTAGACAAGGTAAAGGCAAAGAGAACAGTTGTTAGATGGCCACAAAAATATAGATACAAGTTGCCTAGGCCTCATTTAAGGAGGTGGCCATGAAGATGGAGAGGAGAAGATGGATTTACAAAATATACATATTTTTATATATCCCTATATCCCCTATAGAGACATAGGGTTGGCATGGTTTAGGGACTGTATATACAGAGGGTGAAAGAGGAAAAAATCTAGAATTATTTTTAAAGAGAATTTTGGACATGTTCCTTTTGTACTACCCCTAAGAGAATTCCACATGGAGATACTGAGCCACAGGATATAGGCCTGGAACACTGGAGGGATATATGGATGGGAATAAATGATTGGTATTTATTAATTCATCCAACATATTGATGGGGACAGAAGGAAAGTTGTTAACAAGGGAGACCCAAGGGATAGCCCTAGAGTTAGGAGAGAAAAATAATTGTTATGAAGCCAAGAGAACAGAGAGTTTCAAAGAGAGCCATCCACAGAGTAAATTTCTGTGTGGCAATGAAGTAAGATGAAGCATGGAAGTGCCCTGGGAATCTGGCAACTTAGGGATTATTAGTGACCCGGAATCCACATCACTGGAGTAGCTTGGACACAGACCAGACTCTGGCAGGTTAGAATTATTAAAACCACAAGAGATGGAATCCTTTTTTTCAGAATTTTGGGGTAAAGGAATGAGATAAGTTAACTCTATTTAGAAAGTAAGTTCTATGACATTCTCTAACAACATATTTTTTAAGTATGTTTTTTTAGTTGTATATGGACACAATACCTTTATTTTATTTACTCTTATGTGGTGCTGATGATCGAACCCACTTCTTCATACGTGCTAGTCAACTGCTCTACCACTGAGCTACAACTGCAGTCCCTGATAATACATTTTGTATCAAGAAGAGTGGATGTGCTTCTTCAGTTGTCTATCTTACAACCAGCCTGAATGTTATTAAGCATTTGAAATTGAGCTCAGGCAGACTCAGAACAGAATTCATCTGTTTGTACATGTGGCTTAGGGATGCTCAGTTGTTGGATGATTGTGGGAGATGTTCAGTTGAGGACGATCAACTGATAAACAAGGGGTTGAGGTATACAGAGAGCTACCAGCAGCCTTTATCTCCCAGTTTGGGTGGTGATGATGGTGGTGGTATAGGGAGCATGAATTGCCCCTTCAAGTGCTGAAGCCAATTATTCTGAACAGTACCAAGAAGTAAATTATTCTACAGGGAAATAAACTAGCACTGAGGTCACATATGGAAGTAAAAAGGCAGACAGAATGGGGACAGGAGGATGGGGGCAGTCCTCCTATTGTTTACTCACAGGTGGCCCTGGGGGTCCTGGTTTTCCAGGTGGTCCTGTTTTTCCTCTTCTTCCCTTGAAACCAAAGAAAAACAAATAAATGCTGTGATCTCCTTTTGCTGTAATATAAAACATATTAAATGGCAATAAGAAAACAGTAAAAATTAACAAAAGTTAAAAAAAAATCCCAAGTCCATATGATTCTTAAACATCGGGGAATTGTAAAAGCTCTGGGTTAGTTCATAATTACCACAATGAAAAATAAAGTACCTGAAATGAATATACCTTAATTGCTGTCTAGCAGTATGCTCTAGCTAGTAATGTAAATTTTCTGAAAGATGACTTAAGATTGGCATTTTATCTGATGATTTTGCAGTTTAGGATGAAATAATAAATGCATCTGTCAACTTAATTTGTTGCTTCTAAAAGAGGGCTCCAAATTCTAATTTTATAGGAGTTACCTAAGGTTAAGGTAGGTCACCTACTTCATGCCTCTTCTTGGGCTTTATCTTGTACTTACTGGTTAGAAGCTTCTGGGGATGGGAACTATGAATCTACATTTTAGAATTACTTCAGGTAATTCTTATGCTCACTAAATTTGAAAAGCACTGTGCTAAACATAATTATATATTCTGTCTAAAGCACATTAGCTAGCTCTTTTCTTCCTTTTGGATGGTTAAGCTGTTTTATAAGTGAACTAAAATGTATAATTCTTGCATATTAATCTTCATTATTGTAACTGAATGTTAACTCTCCCACTTCAAAACCAGCTAAATTCTAATTGCAAGAGTCAGGTAAGTTTGTGTTAACATCTTAAGTAACTCTGATCAAATATCATTTAAGAGCATCTAATTTCTTATTATACAATTATTGTCTTAAACTTTTTTTTAAAGAAAGTAAGCTTAGGTTTTAGAAGTATACAATTGGAATGAGACGCATTTCTGAGCATGTTTTCTGAATATCTTCATTCTAGTTCATTGTTATTAATAACTATTTGATTACCTTATTGGTAGAATATTTACACAAAAGTCTTAGTGATAAAACATAATTGCATTTGGTTGATCTTTTCAATACTTTTTTAAAAAAACAATTGAAATCATAAACACAGAAAGATCCTTTTTATTCTCTAATTTTCTTGCTCTAAAAGTGTGAGGCAAACTTACTTGATCTCTCTGGTTTTCACCTAAGCTTGGGATGAAATAGGAAGTTTAAATAACAGCTGGGTCTGCAGAGTAAACTTTGAGAGGTAAGCAAGCAAATGCTCTGCAGTGATTGGATGAGAAACATGCCCACTGTTGATGAAGATAAGTTAAGGGCATGCCATCAAGGACTTCATTTCAAAAAGGCACCCATTTTCATAAATCATCCTAGCTAACATCTACAGAACAGAATTTAACTTAAAAAAATTAAAATAAATATAAAAAGTGGTGTCTTTGTGTTCTTTCATTTTAGAGACCTAAACATTACAGTTCTTTGGGGGACTATAAAATTGGAATGAATATACAGGTTGATATTCTATATATTTAATACAAGTTATTCACAGGTACACCATTTCCTAGTCCTGCAGTCTACATTTTCTGAAAATCAATATATTGGGTCTTTTAGTAAATATAAGTCAATTAGCCTTTGAGGACTAATCAATGGTAAAAAGTTTACTTAGAAAATAGAAGCACTGTAAATTTATTAATTCACAAGAGCACAAAAAAACTAAATCAATGGCATCCAAGTAAGTGATTGGTTCTTTCTTTAAGCACACATCAGATTGAGGTAAGTTAAAACCATAGGATCAAGTTCTGTTTACATTCCCCATTCTTTAGAGGAGACATGTGTATTGATTTGGGCAGGAAGTGGGGAAAATGAGGCCAACTATTGGTCAATTTTTACCACAGAGTTAATGTTGAAGACAAATTCAGCGTCAGATATTGTAAAACAACATTGACATGTGTTAAGTTGAGGAGCAAAAAGCATTCACAATTTAGTATGGAAGGCAGGCATCCAATCCTTGCATCTCTCTGCTGATTTACATGATCATTAAGTCAGTCTTGCCACTGTCAAGTGTACTGATGTGTATGCTCCAGGACTGCAGAGAGARGGCTGGGTTCATTTACACATCCTTTCTAAGAGTAGACAAGCAGGTAGAATATTTGTGAGAGTTATTAAGTTAGTGGAACATATTTGTGCAGATAACTTGAACCAGCATGTATTTTCAATTTAAACCCAGTTTCCAGGCCTGAAGTTTACTAATCCCTTGAATCAGATTTGAACCATTTTTAAAGATGAGTTTTACAATGCAACATAGTCACTTAGCTCTGTCATTAAATATATCATAGAACCAGGTAAAGGAAGCCCTTGGAACTTGAGAAACAGGTCTCAGTGACCTATTGAGGGCGCTCTGACAGCACAGAGTAGGGGTCGATGGAAGAGAAATAGGTGCATGCTTGGGAGTACAACTAGCCTTGAAAGCACTAATGGAGGCCACAGTTCCTATCATCATAATGGTTCAAGGCCTCTCCCAGACATTACCATCCTTCTCCCTAAAAAGCCCCAGGAATTAGGTCCCTTATCTTATTCCCCGCCAGCAGCACTGAATGCAGCTGCACAATCTTCTGCTCCTCCAAAAGCTCTCTCTTTTCATTCAAAAGCATTAAGGAAAGGCAAAAGCTTATCTAAGAGTTAGCAGATTCTTGGTAGGATGAATTTTATTATTTTAGCAAGACAACCTGAAATATTCTATTATTAATAATTATGTAAAGACCATAGGTAAAACCACAGTTCTCATTCTAGATTAAAATCAGATTCCTCCATTTTTCAGAGGGAAGTGTGGTGTTTGACTCCTTGCTGTGTACCTCACAAGTCTCTGGGGAACTGGTCCAGGACACCTGGGACCAGGGGCTGTTGACGGTGGGACAGTTAGAAGCCTGGGATGCTGGTAGGAGGAATAGTTGATATTTGTTTCCACATTTGTTTCTGCTATCTCCTGCTATTTCTGTTCTTCCCAGGCTTACTGCAGACCCACTCTAAAGGGAGGCAAAAAGTGGGAACTTGGATGCCAGCAGGGATGAAAATCCTGGCAGATAACCCAGATCCCTGCTGAGCCCAGAGAGATTGTCCTGGGGAGGGTGGCTGTTCTCGGGTGGCCATTTGTTGAGAAGCAACTCTGCGAAATTGGAGTCTGGCTAAAACTTCTATGGAATGCTATTTTCCCAATTTTGTTATAATTGGGCCAATCCAACACTTTCCTGAAAACTGAGGTATAAAGTACAGAACACAGTTCACTCTATCAGGTTACCCTGGAAACTCCAACATGCTCAACATGTCAGTTTCCAGTTTGGCAACAGTAAAAAGACCACCATTAGGATATCTGCCTAATGATCTAAACCCAGTGGTGCTCAAACCTGACCATGCATCAGGAGCTCTCTCTTCTCTCAGAGTTTCTGATTTGGTAGGTCTGGGGTATGATCTGAGAATCTGCATTTCTCACAAGTTCACAGGAATGCTGATAGTGCTGTTCTAGGGATCACAGTTTGAGAAAACTACATCTCCTATTTTACACGTAAAGTCAGGAAATTCTATAGAGCACCTTATATTTTGTAATCACAGCTCAAAATAACTCAATTGATTTTGTGAGTATGTGAAACTTCGAGAATAAATTTTTCATTGTCAAGTTCAGAACCACCTGGACTGGAATCCCTGCTTTTTCTCTTATAGAAAGTTTCTGTGCAAAGATTGCATTGCTATTAAATGGTACTTTATACTTTGCCACAGGTTTCTTGAAGGATTAAAAAAGGGATCATTTATAACATTCTAGTCACACATTCCCTTTAGGATGGTTACTGCTAAAAATCCAGAAAATAACAAGTGTCAAAAAGGACACGGACTGTTAGCAGGATTGTAAAATAGTACAGCTGCTACGGAAAATATTGTAGAGATCGTCAGATAATTAGAGAACTATCATATGATCTTCCAGGTACATACTCAAAAGAACTGAAAGTATGATCAAGAAGAAATATTTGCATATCCATGTTCATAGCAGCACTATTCTCAACAGTCATGAGGTGGAACCAATTCAGTTGTCCTTCAATGGATGAGTGGATAAGCCAAATATGGTGCAAACATACCTAATGCCATGGAATATTAGTCTTAAAAAAGAAGGAAATCCTGCCACATGCTACAACATGGAGAAACCCTGAGGTGGTATCTAAGAACTTGAATACTTTAAATCTTTAGTGACTTTAGTGACACTGAGGATCAATATTATCAGAAAAAAAACAACACTAAACTACACTACACTAAAATAAGCCAGTCACAATAAGATAAATGCCATGACTGCATTTATGTGAGAGATATAAAGTATTTAAATTCTTAGATACAAAGCAGTATGGATGTTACCAGGAGGTGGGAGGAAGGAGAAAAGGAGAATTATTTAATGGGTATAAGTGTTTTAGTTTTACAAGATGAAAAAGTTCTGGAGATCTGTTTCAAAATAATGTGAATATACTTAATACTATGAAACTGTAGAGTTAAAAATGATAAAAATGGTAAAATTCTTTGCTATGTGTTTTTTACCACAGCTAAAACAAATAAATACCAGTCCTACCACAATGTCTGGTACATGGTGGGAATGATTTTTAGTTCTTGTTTTCCCCCTGTCTACCACTTTTTATTCAGTTTTCCATTTTTTATATAAAAACAATCTGACAATATCTAAAGGAAATCTTCTAAAACATCTAGCTAGCATTTTAAAAAAAATGTAATCAACTCTTAACCATGCATATGAATATTTAAAAATATATATAAAATAAGAATCAACATGCCCATTAAAAGGGGAAATAAAAAGCAATCAACTGTGGTTTATTCATAGTATGGAATAATATGTAACAATTAAAATGAATAGAATTGAACTACATGCTATAAACTGTATGAATGTTTCTTACAAGCATAATGCTGATCAATTTATATAACAATCAAAAACAGGCAAAACTAATCTATGCTATTAGAAGTTACAATGGGGTAGGAAGTGACTGAAGTCATCAGAGGGTTTTCTTGATATTCTGTTCCTTGAACTTATGCTGGTT